TAAGCCAAGGTCGTCAGCAATTTAGGCTTCCTCTTCCGACTGCGAGACAATTTGCCTCCTCAGTCAACAAGGCCATCAAAACTGCCACCTCAGGCAGCCAGACCGTTAGGCTTTCTCTTCTGCCAATTTTACAGACATGATTATACAAAACTATTTACAGAACAATGCCAATTTTGCAGTTTCATACAAAAAGTATACAATTGTATAATTATCAATATTTACTTGCATAAGTTTAGCTGAAATACAACGCAAAACAATATACATTGTTAACAAGATGAGTATTATCGTCGCCAAAATTGAAACCCAGTTCCATATATAATAAATTCAGTCGCTTTCAAACAGACAAAATTCGTCTTGAGTAGGCAGATATAATTAATTTGATACAACAATAAAACTTGAGTTCAATCTTGCGACATTTAACGGTAGTGTTGCGACATTTAACGGTAAGGGAAATTCGTACGACATTTAACGTTAACATTGCGACATTCAACGGCAAATGATTTTGCGATATTTAGCGGCGGTTGCGACATTTAGCGGCAATGGTGCGACATTTAGCGGCAAGTGCGACATTTAGCGGCGTTGCGACATTTAACGGCGCCACAAATGTTGTAAACAAGTTATTGTTGAGTCCTTACATTATTAATAAGCAAAATTCAATTTTATTTCTTGCGTCTTGTATTTATATCATATTATTTTACTATATTATTGTTAATATTGTATTGTTTGTTTTGCCATATTTCACATAATATTTTTCTATATGACCGGATACAAAAGATTTTGTCAAATAACTTATAATTAAAACATGAAGTTATACAGCTCTTCAAGCATAATTATATCATTTGGATATATTGATGATCAAGTTAACATTCAATGGTGATTTAGATATACTAACTTTTAAATATACATGTTTATGCCAAGGTTCATAAATGCAAATGTCTTGTTTTGAATCATTTTATGTGCCTGTCATTGAATTGAATTTCCAAACCTTTTTTTGCAACTTTTATAATAAATGTCTATTTACAATATTCTGTACCGTGTTTAAGTGTATTGGGGGGATTGGGGCGGGTAATTAATCACCGTTATCTCCATTAATTAAACATATTCAACAGCATTTATTTGAGAAAAAAAAATGTTAGAATGAACTTAATTTAGTTAAATAGCTATAATTGTTTTTATTTTAAAAGACATTTTAATACATACATAACTTTTGCTTAGTTTACTTGAATAAATCTTCTTTTGTTGTAAAAAATTATAAAGAGAAAGGCAAGATGCCTAATATTATGGAAGTTGTTGATTCTTCGTATTATTATACTCATAATAATGCCGTTTGGATGATTTTGTTTCTATCCTAGCTTGTCTCGGGTTAACTGTCAATTATCCTAGGAGAGTTCTGAGATTTACCGTTTGTTGTTAATACTAATAATAGCAATGTTGTTGGTAAGCAAAGCGTTTCTCTTTTGCTATGGAAATCAAGTGCCAGCAATAGTTTCAAAAATGCGAAGTACATAGACAATTTCACACATAAATATTTCAAAATCATACAGAAAGATTACGTTATAATCAGTTTGCTAGGGGAGCTAGTCATGATACACGATAAGACTGTATGAAAATGACGTATTCTAACTGTGTGTCTAACCTTTGTTATCGTAAATGCCTTTGTAATTACTTTTCGATTGTTTACAGAATTATGGCGTTTCCCCACTGTGTCAAATAAATCAGTAAATTCGCTTTATACTTCGACGTGTTGCGAATATTTAATAACATTTACCAAGTTTTTTCACTTCTTTTTAATGCGAAATATTTTACAAGTACACACACAGATATTTTGGTTGTTCAATACAGTTCAGTGAAATTAGCATTAATTCAAATCACTACGATTGCCATTTTCAGTATTTGAGGGAAACAAATGAATGCATACTATACTGTAATGACAGAAATGCGGTTCTGTAGTGTTATATAACAGCCCTGTGTCTCTGAATTATTTACTTCAGTTACTTCATTAATTAATACATTGATTCTACATTCATATAGTAAATGGAATCTGCGCTTAAATTTCTTTCTTTGTTCCTTTCTTCTTAATTAGTTTGCAGTCGTGACCGAAGTCTTTAAAAAAATAATTTAAAAGTATCAAAAATATCAAAAATAATCTACCTTTTAAATCATTATTTATCCATGCCTTTCTCTGAAATTTATTTTACAGAGAATTGTTGTTTTCTTTTATAAGTGTACAAAGACTTGTGTCTGCTTTATATGTGATATTTTTATAATATCTTGGAAAAATAAATACGCTATTTTAGTATTTTACCGTTTTATAAATGAGATGAATGGCACAATTCTTTGATCAACCGATATCTTAATATGATTCAAAGAAGTTAAATTTGTTTGTTGAAATTCCATATACACATTGCCAGTTGGAATCATAGCCAATACCTACGACAATTTAACACGCTCCATTATGTGACCCATTACCGACAAGTATCATATCAAAAATAGAATGACGCCGTTTTACTAAACTTCTTTTTCAGTTACAAGCCAGGGGAAACTACTCTATACGACATGATCCATATTGTGTGAACTTTAATTATACACAAATAAGCAATTACTTGTCTATAAAACCTTTGCTCGTGATAAAAGAAATATATCTCTGAAAGAATTGTCTCAAGATTCTAGGTTAAAAACAATGTATAATTTATAATGTGATCATTTTTGTGCTTTCAGCATTGACAGTACGATATATCACCCGAAGGTTTATTGGGGAGTATTGTCCAACACTTGGTAAGTTATTTTGAGAGTAAAGCTTTTTCCAGATCACAACCATATACAATTACGTAGTGTCGTGCATGTGATGCAAAGTATGTACTGGTATACAAAATAAAGTGATGAATTTCATTAACTGATTTACTTACGCTGTTTAGCAATTAAAAGAACAATCTCATCTGACAACGTATGATGTCCATGTTTATAACTAGATAAACATAGCGAGAATAAATGTTGGTTGTTTAGGCAGTAATCAGGATAGAAAGTGAATTTATTCGATTGATTTTAATGCTTTCTGTATAAATATTTTTTTTCGATTTTTGAAACGGCCGAAATTGTCACTTAGATCCATGATAAAATTACGGTATTAAAGCAGTAAAGACAGTATTACTTTTAAAAGTTCAAGAAAAATCTGATTCAAAACACTTTAATTGAGTTTCAAGCAGAAAAAAACTTTGCATCTTTTACATGGTAAACTCAAGTATAACATTTTTTTCTAATAATAATGGAAAACCACCTGTTCAATGTTGTCGGTTTTTTTTTTTTTTTTTTTTTTTTTTTTTTTTTACAAGAAAAAAATATTTGTTATGTTATGAATATAATTATAATGCTATTCATCTGTCATGTGAATTTCGTTCTTGATTATAACACTCGTATTATATCATGTTTAAGTATTATGAATGTTATTTTGTAATATCAAGTATAATATTGTATTACAGAAAGTATACATAAGGTTCAAACCTCTGTAGATGATGAAGACATACGGCTGGAGATATTAGACACAGCAGGTCAGGTACACACAATCATTTCTTCTATTCAGCGTTATAATAAGGTGAATCTTCCGCACAAAGTCGGGGCTAAAAATAATGTGTTCACAAAGTTGCCACAACCGTGCTAGTCCAGAGCTGTTCAACCAAGCTTTATTTTAAATCACAATTGATATGTAATATATCCATTGTAAAATAAAGAAAAGAAAATTTTTTTTTTTCCAATGCACATGAAAGTGTTTTTATATATAAAGGGGTGAAACACAAACGTTTCGTCAAATAAATAAGAGGTAAAATTTCGTCTCGATTGGCCAAAATGTACATCAGTGCTGTCTGTGTAATCTGTATACTGTAGCCCAATAATTGTTTTTTGTGTATTGAAATACCTTAAACAACGGATGAATTTCAAAATTGGACAAATCCATTGTTCAAACAAATTCAGCATGGTAAGTATGACGGCCATTTATTTACCACCATGATGTTTTAGGCAAATTATTTTGTCATTCAAATCCACATTTTCTTAATAAATTGATGCGATGAATATATGCTGCCTTGAAAATGTAAAGTATAAGAAATGCAGAAATTTGGTAAGACCTTTGGCATACTGTAACAATTTGCCTTGTTTGTTGTAGCTGATGGACACGGGATGTGTCTGGAAGGATTATTACGCTTTCTGGGGAGATTGTTATATTTACGTTTATTCCATCAATGACAAAGATAGCTTCGAACAAATAATCAACTTTAAAAGAAAAATAGAAAGCGTGAGAAGAAACACAACATGTGGTCTGTTAGTTGGGAACAAATCTGATCTACTCCATGATCGTCATGTACCGGAATCAGACGCGATGGAGTTAGCAGACGAGATTGGATGTAGATCGTATGAAGTGTCGGCTGCTGACTGGACACAAGTTGATAAGATTATTGATATGTTCAATGATATTGTACGAGACTACAGAAAATTACGGACACCCCGTGATATTCGTGCAAGACGACCAAGTTCGTCGACAAGATTTAGACAAGCTATTCAAAAAGTGATAAGTGGACGCAGTATTCCTAAAAGAATATCACAGACTAATTCCTAGCATTTAATATACATCTTGACCAATATTTAACATACCTCATAATTCTTTATTCGTTCAAATATTGATAGAACTTTTAACTTTGTACTTGTATTCTTCGATGTTATTTTTGTTTCAGAAATGACCTTATAATCGACATATCTATCTTCTGAATAAGCCGTAATTTTACAAGTACCAAGTTAATTCAGACCACGAACACTTGGGAGACCAGATATTTAGATAAGATTTGTGGATATTTTGGGATGACCGTTCTTGAGACATTACAGACGATTGTAAGGTACACCTATGACCACAATCTAAGAGCATACATTTATATGATGAGACATACATTTGTGATATTTTGTTATTTCTGAACTATCATGTCAAGAACTATTTTCTAAAATATGCAGCGAGTATCATATGATAGCAGTCCAAATACGTGTATTTTATATTTGAATATACATGTACTATAAACAACATCATCTCTGCAACCACAATATTTATTTTGACCAAACTTCACAAGAATGATCATTGGATGACCGTCTTCAAGCAATAGTATATAAATGGTTCTAGTCTGATGAAAAAGAAGGAGGAACTGGGCTCGATTTCCGACGGTCACGGTCACTTTCATTATGATTGATCATAAAATCGTTTGTACTTTCATTACATTGTGCCTCCGCTCTGGCAAGAACAGAAGTAATAAAAGTTCCTTACAAAAGTGGAGGCATCTAGTACTGATAGCATCTAGTACTTGGCAGGCTAAGCAGCCAGCTCAGGAGCAATGCGGCTGTTAAATTGTGCTCTGTTGAATTCAAAGTTGCTAACGTCCGTGTAATCTGGTTAGTAAACTACAAAAACCACCACCAATTCATAAAGACATATCAGCTAAAAAGGCTTTAAACCGAGCCTGCAACATTTTCAATTTTGCCGTGTTGGAATTTCTTTAGGGATTCTGTTTTTTCTCTACTTTAAAATGAAAAATTCTCCACATTTAAATGCTCAGTGTTTAGATATATGGTTAAATAGCAGTATCACCTTGTGGCCTCATGACGTTAACATTTTTTTTAAAAAAATGCCCCTGGTGTCAATTAGTTCATATACACGTAGGCCTTTTTGTCTGAAACTTCATTGCTTAAATCTTAGATATTTGGCATGTGGTATCACAATGTGGTTCTTTACAAACTTTATAAAAGAGGGCTTAGGTCGCCCTGGATCGCATATTTGAGATCCAATCTTACACAATTTCATCAATTTGAAAGCAAAAGTAAGTGATAAAATCACATTTGATTTGACATTTTTTACCATGATTTATAAAATATTTGTAAAGGTCCTCTTATGCTACATTTCAAATATTTAAGTACTTGGCATTGTACTTTAATTGTGGGTTTAACGACATAGTGGCACATTATTCGCCATGCCGCGACGACCACTTCTTTGAATAAAAATCCGGCCGGTGACAATTTTGACCCTGGTGACATGATTAATACAACTGTTGTAAAGGACCACAAGGTGATGCTATATTGCTTTATTTATTATCTGGGCACTGAAGTCTTGAAGTAGAACATTATATTGGACGAGCCATTTTTTGACACAATGAATACAATTTAAGTGACATTTGTTGAAATATACTGGACAATGCGACATACAAAACATCTTAGATATGTGCATTGTAGTTTTCAAAAAGTAAAAAAAAGTTTTCCTTTATAATGTTGTGGAAAATAACGGTCCCAAGGGCGGGGCCTCATTATATAACTTTTACAAAGGACCACAACTGTTGTTACATAGAAAGATCTATGCTCTTGGTGTCGTTTTTTAGAAGTTTAAAAACTTTGGGTTTTTTTGGAATGTCTAAAGTGGTTAAGATTGACATCGGCCATCGGGGTAAAAACTTCGAATGGCCGAACATAATTTGGTACTTACGACATAAAGGCCGATCAAAAATATATACTAAATGGTCGATAATAGTCGAAGTAGTCAAAATAGGCAATTTTGAAACTCTGGTCGAATCTTTTCCGAAAGTTTAAGGCAGGCAGAGATTTCATTTTAATACTAGAACTATCGCTACAGACATATATACCTGGCGGAAACTGGAATAACTTCCATAGCAAAAAAGTATAGATGAAAGCATTAAGAGAGACTATTCATAAATATCAACATTTTTTATCATTCACTAAGTAACTTTACTGATCCTTCACATTTCCCTTAATATTCACTGCAGCTAAATTTACATATTGTCCCTGGTAAAATGTTAATTTAAAGAATGTTGCCTAAGTGAAAAAGCTGCTTAATTATGTCAAATTAATATCAGTTGGAAACAGAGTTATTTATCTAGAGGTAAAACGGCAGTTACATACATGTATTTGTATTAAACTACCAGCATTATCAAACTCATACAATTGTAATGTGATATTGCATTGATATTTCAAGTTTCAACTTAACATATCTACTGTTTCCTGAGAAGGTATAACAACCAGTTACAGCCAACAAATAAATAAATAAATAAATAAATAGAAATAAAATAAAATAGATAAATCAATAAAAATAATTTAAAGTCTTGGTCATTTATGACTCAAACTCAATATAAGTCTATAAACTTGAAGATCTATTCTAAAGGTTTGTTGTGTCCAAGTATGAAGAAACTTAATTTATTTATAACAAAGCTTTAGCTACTTTGATACATTCTTGGCTATTTTTCATGTTAAAAAGGGTGAATAATTCTGTCAAAGTAACTGTGAGAGTTAGAAATCTTGGCATAGATTCTTGAATTTGCGAAATTGCATTGGTGTTTCAAGTTTCAACTCAATACCTGAAATTCTTGAGAGAGCGGAACGGGACAAAGTGATTCCTATATAACTCCCCATCCCCAACCCCACAAAACAAAACAAAATAAAAACAACTACAAATATTGAAAAACGAACTCTGTTTTGTAGGGCATAATAACGACAGCTGGTTTATTCATTTGGAATAAGGATCTAAAGTTTCACATTAACGCTTTCAATAATCATAGGCATTTAAACGCTTTCTATAATCATAGTCTTTTAAACGCTAAAAAAGTCTTTGTTGTTTGTTAGTGAAACAAATTATAATTGTCATCGTTTGCTTTCTAATCATTCTAAACGTCAAAAGATTGATGACACAAAAAGGAAACGATCTGGAAGATCTTTTTAGAAATTGTCACCCTAACTGAAGAAATAAATGAACCAAACTCGAACAAAAAAAATTAAACTAGATGGTTGTCAATAGCATATATAATTGGCTTTGGTTTAATGAATTGATTCAATTAAAGATAACATTTTTACTATTGCAAATTGCGTGTATCGGTGAGATTTTAGTATGTAAAATGATTGACCATTTGACCAAGTGTTGCTTTCAAATATTCTAATGAACCAGTATATTTATCAAATAAGATACCTAAGGCGTACGGCTTAAGATGGGCATACACGCCTGTATTACCAAACAGAAGCTAAACATTCTTATGCTAAGGCTCCAGGCCTAACGAAGTTTAAAATTAAGTGAACATATGACCTAAAATTGTTTAATCATATCTATGATTACAGAATATATCAAAATATTTATTTACATGTTCATTGCCATCAATATTTAAAGAGCCAATAACATGTTTTGTTTATGTTGGAAAATTCTTCTGTTTCATAATCTATTTACTATAGAAATCAGTGTTGTTATCAAAAACGTTTTTACTTGAAAATGTCGCATATTTTTCAATTAAATTTTTCGTTTGAGATTCCCCGACACTGACCTTTTATCTTCATTTGGTGTTTCGTTAGGATCACTTCTGTAAAGCTAGCCTGCAACATTTTCATAATTCCGTTTTGAGCGTTCAGAGAAATAATTGGCGTGCAGCAATCTCCCTGGTAGACCTCTACGGTAGACCTCTACTACAGGTATTAAAAATTATGTTTCTGGGTCTAAAACATATAGGTCACTTACTTAACATAGAATGTAATAGTAAATATGCCCTATGAACACATCAGCTGATGTTTTAAATTCGAAGTTTTACCATTTCACGTTAAATGTTGAATTCTGCTTAAGTCAATGCTTTGGGGCGTTGAAGTGACTTACATTTCAAGTACCGTTTATGAACAGGCTCAATCAAACTGAGATCTAAAATGGTCGGCCCCTTGGCACATACTTGAATAGAAAAATATCGTTAAAATCCACTTACCCAGATATTTCAATGCAAAAAGTTTAGATATTTGGCATGTTGCATTCCATAGGAGAACTTGAGAAAAGTTTTATAAATCATGCTGTTGGTCACAAAAAATGACACGCCCTAATGTGACCCAATTAACTTCTGTAACTATGACCATTTCTAGAAATGATTGTCACAGTGAAATTACAAAGTGTGTATCCATATCGGTATCCTCTTTACGCAATCTTCGGAAACGATACCCTTTCTATGGAATGTGTCCATTTTTCAGTTACTGCAACTAAGCTAAACAATATCGAGATGTTTTGCCACGTCTACCGCCTCTGCATGTTATGTGGGCGAAATAAATACGCACTGTGAATTATAAAAAGAAAATTAAAAATCACAGTAACCAAAGTTAATGCAAGAAGAATTCGATGATTCTTCGAATACAAAACGAGAAGCTTGTGAAAAATCTATCAGTTCAAATGCCATTAAGGAGAAATCAACATCATGCTTATATTTTTTATTATCAAGTTGAAATGAATTGAATAAATATTTCAAATGATTAACTGTTAAAATGGTGATTGACCAATAGTTTCTATTGAAAAATGTTTATGGTCTAAAATATACAAAACGACTGCCCGCTCTTTTTATGAACTGAACATTACAGGTTAAATTCCGATGAATATTTTCAGAAATTGACTTGGGTCTCGTGAGTTATTTATATTATGCGAAGTAAGTCATAAAATTAAAAGGAATTTTGTTAAAATAGAAACTTATGTTGACGTCCACATGTTCACTCGCTATAAACTTTTGGATGGGCTTAATGTCACATTAAATATGAAAAGCGGCGTTTGGTCCCATAGTAAAATAAAAAGGAAAGGTTCCACACCAAACCTCATCTTTTGTTTACGACAATTAAGGAGTGAATTAAAAGATAAAAAAAAATTAAAAGTTCACTTAATTGGTGATACTATTCACTAGATCATTAATGCCAAACTTTCATAATGAAGTGTCGATCTCCCGCGAGTTCGGTTGTTCGTTACATTTTGAAAATAGAAAAAAACACCTTCATTGAAGAATTACCTATATGGCAAAACCAATAATTTACCCGCCCGGTTTGACTGAACATTGTAACGTGTTGTAAATTATATATTAAAACTACAATAATTAATTGTTTTGACAGTTAGCTATTAGACAAGATGTTGCCGTATAGAAATAGAGTAGGCGTCTATTTTC